CTTCCTCCTACTCCCCCCCGCCCTTCCCTCCTCCTCCTCCTCCTCCTCCTCCTCCTCCTCCTCCTAACGCAGGGGAGGGCAATGCGTCAGGGAGGGGAGGAGGAACAGATGGGCTGGAGGAGAGCCCAGCCCCTAGAATAGAATAAGAAAAAAAACATAAACATCAACTGTTGGTGCTCCGCGCAGATGTCTTGGATTCGCGTTGGACCCCCCTCCCTGGCGCGCGGAGCGCGCCAGGGGCGGCGCCCGAGGCGGCGCCGGGGGGCCCAGGCGCGGATCCAACAAATCCGCGCGGAGCGCCCAAAGTGTATGTTTATGTGGCTGTTTCTTCTTCGAGAGGAGGAAAAGCAGGGCACGAGGAGAGCTCCCCTGGAGGGCGCTCCTTCGCGAGCTCCTCGGAGCGCCACTGGCGCGTCAGGAAGCCTCGGAAGCTGGCCTGGATGCGCGTCGCGGCCCTGGCGGGGCGGGCGCTGCAGAAGCAGGCAGCGGGCAGGCAGGCAGCGGGCTCCTTCGGAGAGCGAGGGGGCCAGACACCTGGCGGCCCGCACGGCTCGAGGATGGGAAGAAGGAAGCAACGCTACAAGCATAAACTTCTGTCGCTCCGCGCGGATTTCTTGGATCTGCGCCTGGGACGCCCGCGCCAGGGGCGGCGCCGGAGGCGCCGCCAGGGGGGTCCCAGCGCGGATCCAAGAAATCCGCGCGGAGCGCCAAAAGTTTATGTTTATATAGCGTTGTGTTCTTCTTCGAGAGGAAGAAGCCGTTCGCCGCTTGGGGGCCTCTGGGAGCCCGCTCGGGGCCCCCAGGGTGTGCAAAAAAGCGCCCGGGGTGGAAAGCGGGCCCGCGGGAGCGATCGGGGGGGAGGGCCGGGACCAGTATCTCGAGAGAGTGGAGCCGCCGGATGTCTGGGGAGGCAGGAGCGAAGGGACGCAGCAACATCCAGGCCACAGACACCGCGTCCAGTGTTAAGTCGGGCGTATACAAGAGGATTTTCGTCGGGGAAAAAAGGATACTCCAAAAATGCTCCAAAGTGTTCAGGAAAATATCCACCAAAAAATAATCACCTGACCGCTGTGGGCCCCGGAAACGGCAGGGCCGTTCTTTCACCGCTTCCAAAAAAATGTCCCTTGCACATGGAAACGACGAAAAAACGGCGACCGGAAACGGCAAAAAAACGGATCCAGAATTGGAACCGGAGCCAGAACTGGTCAAAAAAACAGCGACGGAACCGGTAAAAAAACGGTGTCGGAACCGGCAAAAACGGCAAAACGGAACCGGTAAAAAAACGGCCCTGACGTTTCCAGGGCCCACTAAGCACCTGACTATATTTTTACTATTTTTGAATATTCCCCCTGTAGAGGGACAGGCCCGACTTAAGTCCAGTGTCAACGCTCACTCCTCCTCGTGACTCGACCCGCCATGGTGCCTTGACGCTCGACACCAAGCAGGCACGGTGTGTTGGTTCCTCACTGGCACGAGCGCACAGTGTGCCGACAGCTGCCGAACATCCCAAGCAGCGTCGTTGAAGGCAAGTGCAACCGTGTATCACCACCAAACACACACACACACACATCACTGAAGATAAGATCACACCGGACGCGCACCCACGGCACGATGCGCTGCGCACCGTGCATCCGAACAAACAGGTCCTGACTCCGAACTTGAAGCGAGCAATGCGCATTGTGATTCGCCAAGGGCTTTCAAACCAGAAACTGCGGCTTCGCGAATCAGCCGCTGCGGGAAGAGCCGCGCAACCTGGCCAGAGCGTCAGGCATCGTTCGTCTGGATCCCCGTGAGCTCCTGACGGGAGCACCAGTGTCGGACTGAAGTGCAAATTAAGTTTCTCATCGCACACCTGCGGATGGCGGGAGCGAGCGGACGCCAGAAACGACTGAGCACCTAAGAGTCAAGGCTCAGTGCTCATTGTGGCTCAACCCATGGGGTCTCCACGCTCGGCACACACCGGGTAAGGTGCGTTGAATAAGTATCCACCGGTTCTTGAATCAAACAGTTTGTCGTACCCGACCACGTGCATGTTTTCGCTGTGCTCTGGCAGCGGTTGCACATTCCAAGCAGTATCGGAGACGGCAGAAGAGGCCCTCCAAGTGCAAGCACTGCTCCGAGGAGGGTGCACGATGTAACTAGATCACAACCAAAGACACAGACATACTGAAGAAAGGGACACACTGGACGCGCAACCAGGACACGAAACGCTGTGCCCCATGCATCTAAGCCAAGCAGGCCCTGACGGTCAAACCGAAGCAAGGAAGGTGCATTCAGATTCGCCAAGGCTTTCCACCTGAAGCGGTGGTCCCGCCAATCAACCGTTGCAGAAAGGAGTCGTGCAGACTGGTCAGAGAATCAAGAATCGTTCGACCAAATCCCCATGAGCTCCTGGCGGAAGCACTGGTACCAGACTGACGTGCAAGTTACGTTTCTCATCACCTGCTTCCGAACGGATGGCGGGAGCGAGCGGGCGCAAGAAACGACTGAGCACATCAGAGACAAGGTTCGGTGCTCATCGTGACCTCACCACTGGGGCCTCGACGTCAGACACAAAATAGGTAAGGCATTCGTAGAACGAGCCGTGTGCACACGCTGTACACATAAGTAGCTGTCGAGCAATCAAAAAAACAAAAACAACGACAACAACAACAACAACAACAACGACAACAACAACAACAACAAAAGAAAAAAACAAACCAACAAAAACCTTGTAGGCAGCAGAAACCCTCCAAGTTCAAGCACTACCTGAAGGGAGGGGTGCACCATGCAATCATCGACACTGGCAGACTCTGTGGCGTCGCGGCCACACTCGCAGCGACGCGGCGGAGGCCGTCGGGGAAGCGGCCCCAAGGCCGCCAGGGTCACAGATACAGCCAGGGACCCACGCAGCCCGGAGAGGAACGGTTCACCCGTGCGGAACCACTGTGGGGGCGTCTCTCAGGGAGGCAGCCGAGACAGGGAACGAGCAAGGAAGCAACCACCAGGGGCGACGACAAACACACACACACACACACAAACACTCTGAAGATAGGGACACACTGGACGCGTCCACAGGGCACGCAGTGCCGCGCCAATGCATCATTCGAACAAACAGGTCCCGACGCCCAACTCGAAGAAAGCATTTTGATTCGCCAAGGCTTTCAAACCAGAAACAGCGGTCTCGCGAACCAGCCGCTGCGAGAAGAAATCGTGCAGACTGGCCAGAGAATCAGGAATCGTTCGGCCTGAACACCATGAGCTCCTAAAGGGAGCACGGGTGTCGGACTGACGTGAAAATACAGCGTCTCATCACCTGCTTCCAAGCGGACGGCGGGAGCGAGCGGACGCAGGAAACGACTGAGCACCTCAGTCAAGGCTCAGTGCTTATCGTGGCTCTACCGGTGGGGCCTCGACGCTGGACAGAAACTACCTTCAGATGGGCAGAACCCTCGCGGTGCTTCACTTCAACCCGCCGGGAGACCTCGAACAGCATGTGCTACATGTTTCACCACAGGTTGCGGCAAGGCCCGCCTAGTGAGTGCACCTTCCGTAGGTTTCGCCAGGAGTTGCAGCGTTTGTTGCGACAAGTTGCGCCAGAAGTTGCGACATACATTGCGCCACAAGGTTGCGCAGGGCAACCCGCATTCCACCAAATCTTCGATTCCCTATCGAATGTACCATTGCGCGACAGGTAGTTCCAGAACTTGCACCTAAGGTTGCCTCGGAAGCTGGGCGAGGGCTGGCAAATCCGTGGCTACTGAAACGGTCTTCACGGAAGTAAAAACAAATTCCCGGAATAAAGCTCAGCGCACTAAATAATAAATGGGCTGCTTCCCAGAAACACCAAAACAATCCCGGCGCTCCGTTTTAGCAGCCACCGGTTTGCTAACCTCTGCCCGACTTCTGAAAGATGCGCCAGGCATACCGCAGTCTACCGAATCGTCTTCCCGGAATAAAGCTCAGCGCACTAAATAATAAATGGGCTGCTTCCCAGAAACACCAAAACAATCCCGGCGCTCCGTTTTAGCAGCCACCGGTTTGCTAACCTCTGCCCGACTTCTGAAAGATGCGCCAGGCATACCGCAGTCTACCGAATCGTCTGCCCTGTTACGTCTCGGTTGCGTCACTGCGCCACGGGTTGCACCAGGGCTTGCGACACAGTCTGCGCCGGCCCCTCCCCCCCGATCTACAAGAGCATCGTCTGTACCAAAATTGGTCGTGCAATTGCGCCTCAGGCTCCGCCATAGCTTACGCCAGACCCCCCCCCAATATGCAAAATTAGATGGTTGATTGTTGTGTCATCTGCTATGTCATAGGTTGCACCATAGGTGGCGCCATAGTCTGCGGCAAGCAACATCCCAATCCACCAAAGAAATTGTACCCCTGTTGGTTGTCCCATTGCGCCATCGGTTGCGCGAGAGGTTGCGTGCGCAGTGAGTTGCGCCTTTAGGTTGCGCCAGCCAACCTGCAACCTACCGAATTGCACGTTGCGTTGGTGGTTGTGCCATTACGCCATAAGTTGCACCATAGCCTACGCGCAGGCACCCTCCCATCTACCCATCTATCAAATCGTGTGCTCGGTTATTGGTTGTGCTATTGCGCCATAGCTTGCGCCATTGTCTGCGCCAGCTCTTTCCCCCCCATTACCGAATCGCCTGTACCATTATTGCTGACGTGATTGCGCAATAAGTTGCGCCATAGGTTGCTTGCACCATATGTTGCACTGTAGGTTGCGCCAGGCACACCGCAGTCCGAGGAATCGTGCGTGCCATTATTGGGTGTGCCAGTGCGCCACGGGTTGCGCCACAGCTTGCTTGCCCCAGACACCTCCCAATATGCCAAATCACATGTTTGGTTGTTGGTTGCGTCATTGCGCAATAGGTTGCGACATTGCCTGCGCTATGTCCCCCTCCCCGCATACCGAATCCTCTGTACCAATATTAACGCTGCCGTTGCACAACGAGTTGCACTCTAGGTGGCTAGAACATTTGGTTTCGCCTTACCTTCCCGCCAGGCAACCCGCAATGTGTCAAATCGTCTGCTCAGTCTTGCCTTTGCACCCACGGGTCGCACCACAGCTTGCGCCAGCCACCCGCCCCCCCCACACTCCCGAATATACCAAATCGTCTGGCTAGTTCTTGGTTTTGCCATTCCGCCTTACGCTGCGCCATTGTCTGCGCCAGGCATCCCCCGATCTACCAAACCGTACGTTTCATTGCTGATTATGATATTGCGCCATAGGTTGCGCCATAGGTTGCTTGCGCCAGAGGATGCGCCAGGCTCCGTGCAATATACCAAGGTATATGTTCGGTGTTTGGTCGCGCCATTGCGCCATCGGTTGCACCATGGTCAGCGACAGCCCACCCACCCCCGATCTACCACATCGTCTGCACCATTACTGGCTCTGCCATTGCGCCACAAAGGTTGCGCCAGACATGCACCCCACAATCTGCCAAACCGTCTGTTCCACTAC